CCCCAAAACCCCAAAACCCCAAAACCCCAAAACCCCTTGAAGATTAACTCTGATTGAATTAGACATGGAATTAACTGACATCAATATCTGGCTCTATCCCATCTAGAGACATGAATTCATTATCTAGCCTCTCCATGAAGTTTAGGAAACTTTGGTAAAGGTGATGGGATGCATGTGGGATGGAATTTGACTTCACCTTTGACTCTACTTCTTTCTTAAACATTGTTGTCTCTTCAATGATTCTACACAGATGAGGATATCTAAGCTTACATCTTAGCAATTGACTCAAGAGGATACTCTTCTGCGAGAGCTTTACAATCCGAAGTGTGTTCTGAATCATCTAAATTGTTAGAGAAGAATAATACTCATTAATAAAATCAGCTGGGTTGCTAGTCTAAATTAGTTAATTTCAAAGATGATACCTTGCTACTATGTTCAGGTTGTTTCTCTCAAATCTGATGACAGATCTGTAAATATTCTCAAGAATTTTCCACACCCAATCCTTTTCTGAAAGGGCTATCAAGAACTGAATTTTCTTAGTAGTAGTCTCATGGTCAACAGCTGACCTCTCTTTCAAGATTCTTGAAGTCATAGCTTGATTGGCTTCAACAGTGGACATCCATACCTTACTATTGAGAGACATCATTCCTTGGTTTAATATCTACAAATAACAATTTTGACTTACATCAAGTATGTTGAGAATGTGACTATTTTGGCATTCAAACAGATACTCAAAGCCATTATCAAATAGTGCGAACAGGAAGGGGTACAGATTCTCAGCGTAAACCTACATGTTGGATAATCAAGACTTACATAAAGCTCTTCAAAATTGATCTTGCTGATCAACTCAACATATTTTACGACCAAACTTCAGATTTTCTTGTCTTTGAAATTTTTGTAGGTATTTTTTCCTACAAAATTAGAGCGAAAGAAATTTCTAAAGACCAATAAACACTCATTGAACAGATCCTTCAGAATCTTGCTGTCGAGGTCATTAGGGAATATATTCTGCACGAAATCAGCAAGGATCTTGAGAATGGTGTTGTATATCTGAGAGCAAATGATACCCTGAGACTGGTAGTGAATTCTGTTCAGCTTATTATCTCATATCTCTCCAATAAGATCCAGCATATGCTTGAAGTAGAGAACCACTTCTTTACTGCTGTCTTGCGAGCAGTAGAGGTACTCATTAAGCTCCTTGATGGTATTTAGAAATTCTTGACTGTTCTTGTAAACATAGGAATACATAGAACTCCTAGAAATTAGAATAGTAATTTACCCTGACACAGCACAGAAGATTCCTTGTAATTTCGAAAGAAGAATATTAGCAGTTTTCAGTTTATCAGAGAAATCTGCTGCTTCTAAGGTGTTGTTCAAATCTCCTAATCCTAAGAGATCACTCTAAAGGTTAACCTCAGGGGATACCGAAAGGCCAAATGAATTGTACTTCTTAAAAATCAGTAGGGCTTCAGAATTATAGTACATTCTTGTTCTTTTGCAGCTCATTTCTAAAGACTTTGTGAAAGTATTGCTAAAAATTATGGAAAATAAGCTTACCTGATATCATACTCAATCATTTTCTGGAAGAAATAGGAGTCAATAACTTGACCTTTGATTACTGGCAAGTATTCTTCTTCATCTCCAAAACAAACGATCTTGATAGTTGCTTTATCAGCAATAACCTGAATGATCTCCATTCCTCCTCTGGTAATATTTTGTAAGCACTAAATTTAATCAGCAAAGCTTACATATTGTAGGATGGTGATGAGGCAATTATTACTCCCGACTTGCTCACCTTCTTCCATGAACATGTTGTTGTAAGCAGAATTAATTCCTAAAGATTAGAGAACATTGGCAAACCATGAGCAATCTCATCAACTGCTAGAGTATTGAAGTGTTGACTCTTAAAATACACCTTGTTGAATGCAGCAAAGAATTTCATCAGAGCATAAGTATAGAGTGAGTATTTACTGAAAATATACTTCTTCTCTTGTGATAATGACACTCCAGATACTTCCTGGAATACTTTGGCAACTCTGAAGATATGAGAAATCAAGCTGAAAAATTTCTCATCTGCTGGGAATTCATGCCCTGCTTTCTTAGTCTTCTTATGAATCTTTATGATCTCAGATCCCATATAGATAGACCAGCAGCTTCCCTTAACTATCTCATTCCATTCAGATTCCTGCAGAACCTCAGAGGTGTTTGTGATATCTGAGAAAACTAGGATTCACTTTTTCAAATAGTCAATCATGAGCTTATAGCTTTCTTCTACTGAGAAATTTATCAGGTAAGAGAATGGCTCTAAAATAGTGATCAACTGTACAGGATCAGCATTGAGGTCTGCTAGTGTCATCACGTCAAGCAAATTTTTAGTGAACTGCATGAAGTTAATCTCAACTTCTTCTTCATTTCATTCAATACCTTGACTGAGAGATCTACTCTTAACGCTCAATATCATGTTTCTGTAGAAATCTGTAAAGCTAGACCCTCTTGAAATGATATTTCCAAAGACTGAAGAGATGAACTTAGTAATCAGTGGGATATTAGAAAGTCCGATCACCTTCTTCAAAATAGCATAAATAGTACAGTTCCAGTCGTCAGTAGTGCTTAATTCTCCTCTGCCAATGAGATCGTTCACAACTTCAATGATACAGCAAACTTCATGGTAAATCTGATCATCCTTCCATATCTATAGCGTTAGAGATATAAAATTTACCTGATCTTGATCATTCAAGTTAATGATAAACTTCATTACTCTTGTACAAATCAGCTCTCGCTTCAAGTATCCATGTTCGCTCTTTTCATCTGAGCTAGCCTCATCTCTACAAGATTGAGCGATATTCTTAGTTAAAGTGGCTATATCCATGCAGATATTCTCATAACCCCTATAATTTGGTCAAAGAAATCTTACTGATTTTTATTCAGGAAATCATAAAGTAGCTCTAGTGAATTCACAAATTCTTCTGTGCACCAGCTCATTGATCCATTAATGAACTTATCTAAGCAGTTATGGCTTTTAGTCTTTATCTGAAATTGGTTGGTGTCACTTTCAGCCCTTTCTTTCAAAGCTTGTTCAAAGCTAATGCATGAAATCAGAGTCAATATCGTCAGCTCAAGTTTTTCAAGATCTTCTTTGGTGAAATTCCCTGAATCAAGAACGCCTAAGATCTTGAAGAACAATTTTGAGCAAGCATTGGCAATAACTGGGATCGACTTGTTCTTGAATAGTGCTACTGACTTCTTGTATGACATAGTATTAGGCTTCTCTTGTAACATCTCTCTGATGAGTAGCTCGAAATATCTTAAATTCTTCAGGCAAGATACATCTTCATCAAAATTTTTAGTGATCAGATTCAAATGTTCCTAAAAGTTAGAATACAAAGATACCTTTATAAATGGGATCTCAAGCCAAAAGATTCTGGCGATTTTACATCTTAGCTGTAAGAAGCTAGAGATCTCACCATCGTCCATTCCATCAGCCTCGGCTGGGCAGTGGATCAGTTTCTCAAGATCATTAAACAGGTTGAGGCCTAGAGAATGAGGCATCTTTGACCAATCTTCCACCAAGACTTCAGAGAGTAGCAGCGAAATAGTCTGAGCAACTTGATTAGAGAAAGTAAGCAAGTGCTTTGCAAATATTGGGATGTTAGCTGAGATCTTCTTCTTTAACCCAAATAATAACTCTTGGCTCACACGCATTTCTTCTGGTGTTAATTCTCCCCTAAATTTTTAAGATAAATCTGATGAAGAATTAAAGAACTTGAATGTAAAACTTACTTATGACTGAGAAGAATCGCTTGCATTTCTTCTTCAGTAATAGAGGGCGGTTCGTTCAATAATTGCTCATTGATTTCGCTAAAATATAATGTAAGTAATTCAGTGAAATTTGAAAATTCTCAAAAATTTAAAGAAATTGCTTCAAGTCTTCAATGAAGACCTATAACTGTTAGAATATATACATAAGAGAGTCAGCAGTTGCTGAGGTATATTTTCTTACATATTTTGCTCTACTTCCATCTGCTGCTCAAAATAAACTTAATTGATTATGATGTCTAATGTTTAATGGGGTTTTGGGGTTTTGGGGTTTTGGGG